AATGGGACTACGGTGGAGAGAGTCAGCAGCTTCAGGTTCCTCGGTGTCCACATCACTGAGGACCTGACATGGACTCTTCACACCATCACCATCACCAAGAAAGCTTGACAGCGGCTCTTCTTCCTCCGCAGGCTGAGGAGGTTCAACATGGACTCCAGGATACTCTGCAACTTCTACAGGTGCACCATAGAGAGTATCCTGACTGGCTGCATCACGGCCTGGTACGGCAGCTGCACCGCCCTCAATCGTAAGGCTTTACAGAGGGTGGTGAAAACTGCACAGAACATCACCAGGACGGAGTTGCCATCCATAAAGGACCTTTACTCCCAGCGGCTCAGGAAGAAATCACTACGGATTATCAAAGACCCCCATCACCCCAGCCACAAACTGTTCTGTCTGCTGCCGTCTGGCAGACGATACCGCAGCATCCGGACTAAAACCACCAGACTCAGGGACAGCTTCATCCCACAGGCAATAAGACACCTGAACTGTTGAAGCAAAATCTGTTAAAACACCTGAACAGTTGAAACATCTTTAATATTCATCTGGCTGCTAAAAAATGTCACTTTTTAAACTATTTTTCTTTTTATATTGCTATTGACTATTTACTTGCACTATATTTTCTGTTTATCTGTGTTTTGTGTTGCATTGTTGGAGAAGCCAGTGACACAATATTTTCATTGGCATAACTACACTGTAGCTATGTTCGTATGACTAAATAAAGAACCTTGAACCTTGAACCTTGTATATTATGTGCTGGACTACAGATGCAGATTTCATTTGAGTCATTTTACAGACTATGACAACATTTGGCTCTCTGGGTTGTCCCACATTCCCTGATCTCCATTTTCTCATTCCAAAAAGAAGGATAATGCCTCTTGCACCTGTCAAGATTTTGCTAATGCATTTTTCTGAGGTGCTTGAGGTTACACAGATTAGAGATTCTCTCCGAAAATAGGACAAAGGGATAGAAAGTCACAGAAACGTTGAAACTGTTGCTGCTAAGACTGCCTTGGTGGTTTGTTCTCATTGCTTCGTATGTATTGTCTACACATATTGACATTTAACAGTGGGAGTTCTAGCTGAACGTGTTTTCACTCAGACATCAGTCAAAATTGTTAATTGTATGTTTCCTAAAAGAAAAACCATAACACATTATTAAAATGCCTATAATTTAAAGTCTATATGGAGCCCTACATTTCACATCTGCTCATGGGGAATAAATACAAAATTAATAAATGTTTAAAGCGACAAAAAGACTAAAATATGGTATCCTTTTTGAAATGGGTTTATTTTCCAAATTAAAAGAATATGCATGATGTGTGATCATTCTTATACTAAATGTACATGTCAGTGTTTGTGGTTTGATTCACAAGAAATTAAATATATAATCATCTCATACCTGGCTGCCTATGTTATATTGTAATGAACCTATTCAATTTTGTGCCATTTTACATGTGCTAACCTCCATGGAAAAACGCCAGCAGAAACTAACATATTTTCAGCCTGCGAAAAAAAAAAGATGTAATTATATTAAGGTTTAAAGGTATGCATTATTACAGATGTGGCTGCCTTGATTGACAGGCGGGGGCCGTCTCAGGTCGCTAGCAGCCAGCTCTGACCGGAGCCCACCTCAATTCCACATACGCTCAGACCATTTGGATGGCCAAGAGTTAGTCACGGGAAGACATTGTTCATCTGTTTCGACATAGTGATATATCTTTAAAATATTCAACTTTCATAATGAACAATTAGCGGGAAGCTGGCATTAGTTGTTCTATTGTTCAGAGAATGATTTATTAAGACAACTATTGTCTACGGGAGATTTAAAGACACAAGACGGAAGGAAAAAAAGGTAGAAGAGCCTACAATATGTAAATGTTAAGATTCCAAATGAATTGACACAACAGTAATCAGAGTAGGCCGCCATGTCCTGTATAACTTCTGTACTAATAATAAAGGTACAAATAAAAAAACAAAGAAAACAACAGCATGCTCGTATATCAACTTTTATTCACTTGTTCTATTCAACCTAAAATAAACTGTGAAAAAAATCCCTATAACTCATTCACAACATAAAATAACTCATAGTGGACAGGGGACATACAATTTGCCCGCTCAGTAATTAAAATGATTTGGACCTGGATTAGCATGTACACAGTCGTTACAAAAATACATCCTGCTCCTCAAGTGCAGTCTCTGCAGTGACGCAGTCTTAACCGACTGTCTTGTCCTCTCACTGGTTTTAAGCTTTAATCTCCATTTACATCGCAATCAATCTCTTCTCTCTTTTATGACATCCATCAATCCATCTTTCATCCCAGCCCTCCCTTTCTTCAGTTTCTCATCATTCACTCCATCTGTTGCGGAGTGTATGGATAACTCAACTGCACTATGAGTACTGGAGGGTTTAAACAGGGAACATTTAGGAAGAGAAAAAAACGTATTCAAAGTGGAGTTGATGATGTTCTTTTAAACGTGGCATTTTGACCCAAAGTCCCCCAAATTGACCGCATTGTTCCCTTTCATGCTTTTAGCTGATGCAAGCCAAATACTCAGTTTACAATGTTCACTACAGTATGTCAGATAGATTCAGACAGAAGTACAAATGCAGGCTTCTAATCTGTAACTCACAATTCTTTGTTTTGAGTGTACAATGGCAACTGAGAATGAGAAGTGTATTTTTGCCTCTCTATAATATAGCAAAGATATTCTAAATGTTAAGTGCCTGAATAAAGCTTTAATGCTAAGCATTTCCTGTTAGCTAGCTTTCTACTTAGCATTACTTTAACGATCAAGCAGCATATCAGTATGTTAATATGACAGATTACGCTAAAATAGTTCATGAATCCACGTACATGACTAGAACATTCACTCTGTAGCATTTCTACTCTTATGGATGCTACAAGCCTTTTCTTGAGAACGCTTCAAAGTATTTATTTGAATATTCAATGTTTTAAACAACACAGTTTCAATTAGTTTGAAAAGGCTTGTAGCATCCCAAAGTAGAAAAATAGTTAGAAGTGATTGAAGTAAAACATTTGTGAGTAACCTTTTACCCCGCGTAATAATATACGCTGCTTGATAGTTAAAGTAACGCTAAGTAGCAAGCTAGTTACTAGTTAGTTAGGCTAGTTAATCCCTTAATCAAATGAAAACATATTTTTTATTTTCTCCAATAAAACCACAAACCTTAAATTACAAGAACACTCTATGAACCATCAAATTAACCACATCTACATCTAACAAGACTCAACCATTACTGTAGCTGTTTCTCTTTAGGCAGGGTCCATCTAAATACACATTCAGACTTTTTTACAACCCAGAACACTTTTTAAGGAATATGCAGAGGTATAAAGACGAAGGAAACGTTACATCTGTGGCAGAATAGTGGACTTTTATTATCAAATGAGAGTAAGTTCTGTCCAAGTGTTTGGATAGATTCTCTGCAAAATTAGCTTTCATGGTCCTATGGGAGGTCATGGGAGCTCACACATTATAGATTATTGCGATTTTGTTTAATCAATAAATCCGGCTGAAGGGGGGGTGATCAGAAACCGGTTGTAGGACTAAGCGTTGAGTAACATGAGTTTATGCATTTGTATGTGCGCCAACGAGTTACAAACAAAGCTGGGACCCACTTATCTGAAAACAGTAACAATAGTTTGATACCTTGGAAATCTTTGTTCTCAGGCCAAGCAACGGTTCTTATTTCATCTAAACTATGGTTCTCAAAATGATCTTGCCAACTGACACTTCTACGCGTTAACCACAGGGGCCAGGGATCGAATCACCCTCCGATTGCTCTGTTTCCTGAGCCAAAGCTGCCCAACTGGCTAGCTAAAGGCCGCCATTTTGCACCCCACCCCCAGGATAACATTGTTAGCGGCACTAACGGCACTAGCAATGTAAGCTGCCAACAATTGCTTTCATAAGAGCTGTGTCCAGGCAATCCAGCAATCATAAACATGCTTTGAAATCTAGAGCACTTTTAAACTTGTTGTAGCATTGAGACATCCTTTCACCTTCTCAGAGTGTCGGGATGTCCATTCATTCATTTATTGACAGAAGCACTATGTCTGGCTGAGTTAGACGCATAATTGTCAGACAGCATATAAAGTGTTATGATCCGTATTCGTTTTCCCTGTTTTATTTTGTCATGTCAAGATCTGTCTTTGTTTTCCTGTTTTTTTAGAATAAAATGTATGTCTGTTGTTGCTTCCTGTTTGATTACCTGATTGGTTCACCTGGGTCACCTGTGTTTCTCTTCACTCCCCACCTCTGTCTTGTTCTTGTGATTAGTCTTGTGTGCATTTAAGTTCTGGTTTTTCATTCAGTTGTTGTCAGAGTCTTTATGTTGGACGTTTTATTTTCAGAGGGTTAGGTTTGGGTTTTTGCCTTGTTTTGCCTGGCCCAGCTCTGTGAATTCTGGGTCAATCGCCAATAAAGGACTTTTATTTAAAGAAACTGTCTTCTGTATTTTGGTCCTATGCACTCTGCTCTCCAGCGTTGACATAACGGACAGGTTAACAACACCACTTGAAACAGCAATGTTTTTTTAAGATGTCAGCCAAAATCTAAAGTGTTTTTTTTCAGATGAATTTTCGAAAAAATATGAATGGCAAAAAAACAGCAGAGCAAGATGGACAACATGTCAGAACATAACATCCCAATGGGTTCTGGCCTCGTCTGGCGCTAAGTTTGTCTCGGGCAATGGAAATGTTCTTCACCCCAGCTTGACAGTGCGATTGTTTGGAGGGAGAATTGATGAACCTCGATTTCTCATGTTACTTTGTCACCATAAGCTTTGTAGCTACTGATGACTGAACTGTTACCACAGCAACCCATGCAGATGGGTTGATGAGGGCTGAACACAAACCTGATCGTACCACTTGCAATTTAACAGTGCTTGGAGATCTGATTCAAGAAACAAATCAGACTGTTCACAATCGAAATAACAGCTGAAGAAACCAGGAGCCACGCCCAGTTCTGAGTCCTACCTGTCCGAAGACTGAGTCGACAATGGGTCGAAGCTTTCTCCTGTCTCCCTCTTGCAGCCAGAGTTCTTCAGGGTCCCCCACTGGGGAAGATAGACTCAGGGTCTTGGCCTTGGGCCTTGGAGGCCTCTTTAAGCTAGCCGAACTCCATCGCCTTAATGATTCGATCTTCTTCTTGATGGAACCCTGAAGAATGAGGGATGAATAAAGACAACATGAAATGGGAAAGCTGTCTCACAAAAGAAAAAAAGAACTGAAGGAGATAGGGCTGTGCGATTATGGCAAAAATCATAATCACGATTATTTTGGTCAATAATTGATATCACGATTATTAAAAACGATTATCCATTTACTTTGAAAACATCCATTTATTGAAAAATAAAATTGGAACAGTATGTTTTTAACAGTTGATTACCCTGAACTTAAAGTATAATTCAACTGAAAAACCAATAAAAATATAATTATAAAAAATATTAAAAAAAATAATCACATTTTTTTTTTTTTTTAATAAAAATAATAATCGTTTTATTTCGATTACGTTGTTTTCGTAATCGTTGCAAGCCAAAATCGTAATCGAGATTAAAATACGATTAATTGCACAGCCCTAGAAGGAGATGATTATTCATGCAGGTATTCTGAGAGCAGGTAAATAAATGAAATGAATTCACTACTGCATATATTAAAGTTTTTGCACATTTCCACCCACATTGAAGTCCTGAAAAGGAAAGCGTCAGAAAAAGACTATAAAAACTCGCACAACTCCTGTCCTGGAGGAGAAATTAAATGCACACAAATCTAATTTATCATTTAAAATAACTATTTTTCTGCCTGCTCCTTAAAGGAGAGGTGTCATGCTTTTCCGGTTATTACCCGTCCCCTTGTGTGTTATGAAGGTTTTTATGCATGTAAACGGTCTGCAGAGTCAAAAACCCTCAAAGTACACCCTGTAGGGAGAAAAACTCTAACACAGAAAAGACCTCCCCAAAACGCCTCGTTGGAACTTTCTCATGTTCTTCCTGGGCATTGTGACGTGTGGATACCCAGCAGCCACGCCCAGAGCTATGACGCGATACGGTCATGCGGTACCCGGAACCAAATGGACCAATCCGTGGAGCTGTTACGTTACGTCCGCGGAGCCGTTACGTTAAGCCCCCGCTGATTGACGGACTTCCTCACACACACACACTCAGTGCAGGCAGCTCTGCAGATTTCTCCTCCCTGGCTGCAGGCTGATAACAGACAGTTGGGATCGCGGCGAAATTCTCTCTGCAGACCCATTCTCACAGCGTTTATCAACCTTTTTCTTACTCAATATCAAGCCACACTTATTGTTTTTACTTCGGTTGTGACTTTGTGTGTGCTCAGGATGAGTTTGGCTGTGTTTCGCTATGTATCCTAAACAAGGAAACAACACCTCCACGGAGCTCAGCGCGATTCACAACGTCCCGACCAATCAGAGCACACTGTGCTCACAGGGAGGGTGGGGGCTGGAGCTATTGGAGCTACAACGAGCCGTTTAGTGGAGAGAGTGAATACTGCTGAATACACTTTACAGAGATGCTGTATGCGAAACCAATGTGAGTTTGGAAAAATGCACAGTATTAATCTATTTTAGTAGACCTCAACAATGGAATTATGATCAGTGGAAATGGCCATGACACCTCTCCTTTAACAAATAAAGTTCCTACGTCTGGTCTGCATTCTTTTCCTTACATACACAAACAAATCAGTACAAAGTCATGTTTGGAGAAGACCACATCAGAAAAAGGATTGGTCCATCAAACAGGTCTTCAATAAAGTCAAGATTAATTCATTCTAACTTTATGTTAAACCACCTAATAGTTTTGAGACATATTGAAAAAAAATGTCCTTAAATGTTGGGTTAGGGTTAGTAAGGTTATTGAGAAGGAAGTTTAATTGTATGGCAAAGGAATTCTTTAGGTGACAGTGTTACCATTTTATTGTACCAGCTCTAAGAGAAAAGCTCTGTAATTGCTTTGAAATGTTTTTCTTGAACACAAAAAAAACAACAACAAACAAACAATAATTCAGTTTGTGGCTAAAATACACTTTTTTTTTACTATTTAGTTAGTAGTACATAGTGTGTCATGCCAGTCAGGCCATAGAAGACGAACACTGGGTCACCACAGTAAACCATGTCGAGTTTAAGCACCAAGGATTTAGGGCACAGCAAAGTCATATTTTGGCATATCCACTGACCTTCTTTATTAACTTCCCCTCTGGCACCTCCGTGGACGATACGCTTTTGGCGTCGGTCATCTTTTCAGTCCAGCTTGCATGCACAGAGACGTCCCCTTTCTCTCTGTCTCTCCTCCTGTCACGCTCTTGTCAACTCCTCCTCTTTATCTGTCTCTAGAGCATCTGACTCTGGTTGATAATCTGAGGCATATCTCCCCACTGTTGTTGCTCCTCCTTCTCTCATCCCTCTCATCCCTCCTCCTGTATACACATCCATCACTCACTTTTAATCTGTCCGCTCTTTCCACCTCTTCTTTTGGTCTCTCTTCCTGTAAATACTGCTGTAACGCAAATATGCCAATTTATTCATGCAAACAGGATAAAAAATGACATTTTAGTCTTTCCCAGTCAGATAATGTTAATTATTGAATAAAAACTAAATACATACATATATATTTTGTAGTTATGTCTGTCCATTTTGCCTTTTTTGAGCCTGACACTATATTGACATTGCCTATAATCCTGTACTTATGTCATCTTTGTGATGTTGTCTATTCTGATGTAGGCTTGTCCTAAATCCTCTCCCACATTGCTTCCACTATATATTGTGTTCAACATATGGGCCAGTGCAGTGCATGTACAATCTAACACACAACACACTTCCAACATATACAGTATTCTGGTCAACAGTTTATATTACTAAATATGTCATTACCACAACTTGTTGCTTGATTTGATTCAGTATGAAATTCCATTTTGTTTTCTAGGAAACAATAAAGATCTGGTACATTTTATCAAGAATTTAAGACCACATGTAACTGACGGGAGCTTAAATTATTAACAGTAGGATAAATCATAAAATATGATTCATTATAGTTCCCTGCAAAAGAAGCACAAAAGTGGATGGAAGAGCTCAGTAGAGCAAGAGTTAACAGGATATAGCTGCAGTTATTGTAAGTGCCTTATGATAACAGATGTTTTTAAGCGGTACAAAACTAAACTGTATTCTTCTTGTTTAAAAGGCCTTTTTTATCAATATTATTTGACTGATCACAAAAGTAAAAGTGTAAATAATAAAATTGACGATAAGAGCTTTTATTCCTCTAACATGACTTTGCTCTTGTTAATGCATGGAGATCGTGCTTCATGTGTGGGCTGAAAATTGTGAATACCCAAACTTCCTCACCTGTAGTTTTGTAATTTCGGTATAAAAAAGGGCATTTTAACATTCCATCTTGCATTGAAATCAGTAGAGACAAGTGAAAGTAAAAATGTTTATAAGAACGGATCATAAAAGGTAATCAAGTATTGTGGTACTTTGGCTCCAAGACTCTACTAATATATTTGCATCCACACCTATTCTATTAAGTGTATGCTCCAGGCACTGTAGTGGTGATCTCTGGACTCAGCTGAGACTTGTTGGTTGATGGTGCTAATACATCTGCGTAGATTGACAGTGATGGGAAGGTATGAGGCACATGCAGAGCAGCATAAGGCTCGGTTTACACGGTGACAGAACGGGTGTTATCCGCTACAGTTCTCTATCGTATGGACGGTTCGTTCACACGAGGCCATAACGGAACCGCGGAAACTGAGCCCTCAAACAATAACGGGTCCCAAGGTGGGTAGATCTGCGGACGGAACGCTCTGGGGGGGTCAAACGGCTCCTTGTGTACGCCCGATACGCCATAGCCCCGCCTCTCCCCACCTCTCGCTTATTGTTTAGGTGTCCTTTGACACGCAGGCAGTCATATCATTAGCTAGAACTAGCTAGATTTGATCGATATGGACATAAACGCGAGTGAAGTCTAATCGGACAGGAGAGAGAGATCAGAGATCAGCTGCTGCTGACGGAGACACGCAGCTCTGCATGATCACCTGCAGCTCCGCCCGCTGTGATGGAGCGGTGAGCGGAGCAAAACACACACTTCAAATTAGATCATCACACTTAGCTATTTTAATTACCTCTCAAACGACCTAAACTAGTTATAAATATGTTTATTTTTACTGTTGGGTCACTCATTACTGGATCAGCCAGCTGCATGAGACGGATACTGACGGGCTGTCAGGAGAGGGGGAGGAAAAGAGAGGCTCTGTGTATTATTCTTTATTAATTTGTTTTAAAGCTCAATGAATAACAAAGAAGACCTTTGACCGGCACTTTTCTCATTTTGTCCGGAAGATTTTAACTTGACCGGTGGAAAAAAATGATAACGGAAACTCTGCCGCACGGTTCCCTCGTCCCTTGGAAGAGGCGGAGAGGTGGGTGTTTTTCATCTGCTGGTGGACTACCGGGGAGATTGAACGTCCTGCTCGGGAGCCAGGCTCAGAGTTAGTGGCAGTGGGTGCGGTGCACCTGCCTTTTACAGCAGGAGCACACGCTCGCCTCGGGGAGGGAGAAAAAGAGAAACAGAGGCAGCCGAAACAGCCAGAGCCCTGCCTCTCCCCACCTCTGCTGCTCACCCAAATCTACAGCTCCTCTACCACAACCATCAGCAACAAGTGGACATGGAGAACTACATGAACTACATTTTGCTAAATCCACCGCGGAGAATAAACAGAAGGGCAACCAGGCAACCATGGCAACCATGCTCGGGAGGTCTTCTTCACTGCTTTTGGTGTATTTTGTGGCGGAAGTACAGCACCACTTACAGGCCCGGCATATGTACTACAGCGTCTCCAGCGGGTCGAGTGGTCTCGTGTGGACGGACACGTTTATTGAGCCGATTGCGTGTGGACGGAATACTTTTTTGATATCGAATTCTGTTTGTTTTTGTTTTCCGTGTAAACAGGGTCTAAATGTACTAGAGGCCTAGATACAGACATCATCAGGAATGATCGCAAGAAACTAACAACAGGTCTAAGCATGCAAAATAAGTGTCCTTCTGATTATTACTCTCAGGGCTGCCCCTGGGCAACTTGTGGCCCCACGCAAAGTTGTGGCACGAGGCCCCCCGGGTCTGTACAAAAGTCGTCACACATGTGTTGCGAGCGTTGACGGGGGAGGGGCGGTGGGGGTGCAAGTGGAGCACGCTCGTGAACTGTTAGCGCCGGAGACTCGCAGCGGGTAACTGTGGAGCGCATAATTGCGCCGCATTTGTGCATTAGATGAGGCCCCATGCAATCTGCGTGATCTGCGTGTAGGGAGGGGCGGCCCTGATTAACATCCTTTAGATATGCTGCTTTTCCGCATTTATAGTACTGCAATCATTATTATCCATGGCAATAACCTCTACCTACACTCTAAAATACAATTCATGGGGTGAGTAGATTCCACTTGAAAAAAAATACTTTTTCAAAATACAACATTTAGTTTTTTACCTCAACTTATTTTAGTTAGTTTACAACTCATTTTAATAAGTCGGTCAAACTGAAAAAGAACAACAAAAATGTAACTTACAAATGTAATGATTTTGAAAAAATATTTCTGCGTTCACTCAACTATAGAGATACTACTGTAAGTTAGAGTAACTCATATCTATTGAGTTTCAACGGTATAGTTTCAAAACTGAACACACGCTTGGACTTGCCCGGACTTTGCTAGAGTTGGAGCAATCTGCATTCATCCTGGAAGCAGAACACTTGATAGCAGTGGAACAACAGGATTTTAACCTAATAATCTATCAAGTTACCTGGTAAGTAGCCATTTTTTTTCATCTTAATTTACCATAGCTGCTTACTGCATATACAGTGTAACACAAGCTGTAAGGTAGTCATTAGCTACTTGTTTTAAGCTACTGTAGCATGTATAGCATACTGATAGCTAGCTGTTTGTATCCTCCTGTATCCTTTGTTTCACAGTTGCAGTCAAAGTTCATTATTTGTAATACAGTATGTATATATTTATTAGGGCTGTCAGTCGATTAAAATATTTAATCGCGATTAATCGCATGATTGTCCATAGTTAATCGCGATTAATCGCAAATTAATCGCACATTTTTTATCTGTTCTAAATGTACCTTAGAGGGATATTTTTCAAGTTTTTTAAATACTCTTATCAACATATGAGTGGACAAATATGCTTTATATGTTTGTTTATTATTATTTGAACAATGACAAATATTCTCATGAATATTACACACAACAACCTCTGAACATTACAAATATTCGCCTCAATTCAACCTGGAACCTCTCATACAATAATACAATACAAAGTGTGTGTGTGTGTGTGTGTGTGTGTGTGTGTGTGTGTGTGTGTGTGTGTGTGTGTGTGTGTGTGTGTGAGAGAATGTGGAGACAATAGCCGCGTTCACACCAAGTACTTTCCTGTACTTAGTTCGCTTTTAACCCCAGGGCACTTAGTACAGATCGCGTTCACACCGGAGTACTTTTCCCTGAGGGAAGATTACGCAAATGAGCCGCTGACGTCACTTCTTCTTCTTCTGTTTTGGCTTTACTGGCAGGCCACAAACCACTTCACGGCGAGTACAGTAGGTGGCGGTATGCACCTTAAAGTTGTTTGCAATCCCCTGCAAAACAAGAGAAGAAGAAGAAAAACTTCCCGCGTATACTGCGACGCCCACCCACTCGCTGTACATTAGGCGTCTGTTGTTTACCTTCCGACCTCAGACATGATGGAGATGGAGTCGACTGAAGTTGTGCTGTTTGTGCTCATGTTATACAGCTTTGTAACTGAGTTAATGCAGCCTGAGCAACTTGCGTACAATCACAAAACAAGCCGAGCACGAGTGGTGGTGGAGAACGCTTTTGGCAGACTGAAGGGCAGGTGGCGGTGCTTGATGAAAAGAAACTACTGCAAGATGGACAAGATCACATTCCAGGTGGCAGCATGTTGCATATTACATAACCTTTGTGAAAGTAATGAGTACAGGGACAAATGGACTGCCTTACCGGCGACCCAGCTTTATGAGGCATCTGAACAGCGTGTAAATTGTAAACATTTTGACAATAAAGATGATCTTTTGTACAGTGATTTTGTTTCCCTTTTATTTTCCAGTCAAGACAGGCAACATTACAATAGGGTACAGTGTGGCAATATAATAACAATAAACTGTGCCAGGTGTGTTGTATGCACAGTAAATAAGCTCAGCAGCAAAACCCACCGTTATTATTTATCTTCCTGAGACCCACTGCATCCGTCTGCCATAAACATACATGTTAGTTTCGGCCCATAGTGGACTCC